TGTAATAACTCACTAAACTCACAAAGTGGCCCGTGAAAAAAATATTTTCTCCAGCGGATGTCTTAGTTACAATATGATTGAGCTAATTGGAGTAGTTTCATGTCGTATCCGACAACGGGAGGCTTTTAACGGATGACGATCCTGATGTTAACATTGCTGCTAGTGTTAATGTTAGCTGTCCCTGTCAGCTGCAGCCACTGATGCTTTCTAGACATTGTGATTTCCCAAAACTGAATAAATACCACACATAGCAACACAAAACTGCTTTGTTAGCTCAATCATGTTGTAACGGCTGGATGGTTGATGCGTATATGCTGATTCGGGTGCTATCAGAGCCGATCCGCGCATATGGCTTAATGATCAACTCAGTCAATTAAAACAACCCGTCCTGTGTTAGGAGTGTATGTCGCTGACAGAAAGAAAGAAAGAAAAGGGAAAAAAAGATAGATTCGCGTTTAGGGGGAATAAATTTCCGTTATAATGGAAACGTGGGCACAGTTATCTAACGTTATACAAAATACACAGACTAACTAACTAACTAACTAACTGATTGACTAACATAAACAACTGAAAATTGAAAAAAAAAATAGCTTGCACCGTTAGCTCCAGTAAGGGAAAGCATGAAGGAAAGCGGCTGACCGGAAGTCACGGACAAAAAAATGGAAGTTGATCACTATTTACTTCCGTGTTTGAAAATAAGGTGGATAGAGATAAAAACAAAGCTTGTGACTTTGGTTTTGAGATAATAAAAGGCTTGTTTAGCAGAGGCATTTACTAGCCGAGTCAGAAAGTGTTTGGATCCGCTTTTAGGTCTGGAACCTCCTGTCTACGACGGGCTTGAGGCGTGCCCTCATTGAGGACTTGGCTCAGTCTATTCTGATCCCGTTTCATTCAGTGACTGCATGCCTTTGCTGACGTTGACCCCAGCAGGATTCAAACCCTGGACCTTCCGCATGGATGATGTGTGCTCCAACCACTACACTAGGGAGGCCCAGCCGAGTCAGAAAGTGTCTTGTAATGAATTTCACAAATAACAATAACAACAAATAATAATGTTAAAGAATAGGTTGAGATTTTGGGAAAACCTTCTTTTGGTAGGAGTAAGATGAGGAGATCAATAACCACTCTGTCTGCACAGTAAATATGAAGCTACAGCCAGTAGCTTTTAAGCTTAGCCAGTAAGCCACTGCTCCCAGCCAAGAAGTAGTCACAAACATAACCCCTCATTAAACCATACCTTCTTGTTTTCACACCTTGGTTTTTGTGCAGATTAAACAAACAAGTTAATTAATAAGCTTTAGAGGTGCTTATTTGCTTGATTTTGTTACCTTAAGACAAAGCCAGGCTAGCTGTTTTCCCTTGTCTTTCTGCTAAGCTAAGCTAAGCTAAGCTAAGCTAACTGGCTCTCGGCTCTAACTTCATATGTCATGACAGATGATAGTGGTACTGAGCCTCTCACCTAACTCTTTACAAGATAGCACATAAGCGATTTCCCATAATGTTTTTTGCCTTTAAATGTTTTTGATTTTTTATCCTTGTGTTCCTCAGAGTATGGGGTGGCAGGAACATGATGTGATTAAAGAGACCGCTCTTCATCCAGAGGGTGTTAGTTTCAGTCCCACTTTGACCCCGAATGTCTGCTTCTCTTAAGTCACTTGACTCCTACACCCTGCACTTTGACTGCTCTGCTCAACCATGTGATGGCTGGAAGAAGAATTGCACACTATGAGGCTCCTTACACAGTGCTCTACAGTGATTTATGATATTCTGAGTCCCTGCTGGGGTTAATAAACTCTAATCAAAACTAAGTGTATTTTTCAGCAGTGGTACAAACGTGAACAGACATTTCCCCCAGAGAATATGGTGCTCTTCGTTGTGTGGGATTAAACCTTACCTAACGCAGGGATTAAACCTTACCCTAGAATAGAAAAGTCACTTTCTAAAACATGACTGTAAAACCAGGTGATTACATATTACCCCAGAGGAAACAGATCCTGAACTGGTTAAATAATGAGCCTCCTGAAAGAACATAAAGTAGCATCCAGGGTGCATGTTTGATATCATCACAATTATATTGCAGTGATATATAATGTATGTTGGACCCTGGATGCAATGGGGTTGTGAGTCTCTGGAAACAGACACTGATTAATGCTCTTTTTTTAAACCACTTCTCTTTATTTCTTCTTTTTGTTTAGGGGGTGCCTAAATCCCTGTGTAATGAACTGCCTGTGTTTAATTGGTGGCCTCATCCCAGTCCATCTGTTCTTCCTCTTAAATCAAATGTTATAAAAAGAAAAGTTGTAAGAGCATAAATGCTGTTATAGTGCCCAGGCAACACGCATTTGGATACAAATAGAAGTAAGTTGGTGATTAAAGACTTCACGTTCTACAAATGTTTTTTTTCTTGCTCTGGACAAACTCTGAAATAATGAATTTCAATATAATTTGCAACATGCTGCCAATAATATTGCTATGTGAGTGTTGTTTTTTGCACTACAGTATCTTGGGCCTCACCTCAAACCTGCAGTCTGCTATCTGTCTGTCTCTTTTGCATCCGCCAAAGATGGTCTATACGGAAGGTGTGTGTGCGCACATATATATACAGACACACAGTATATTCTTCTTTTATTTCTTCTGTGGTATGCCACTATGCTCAGTACAATAAATGCTGCCTCCACCTGACCAAGTGTGATTAAACACAGAAAGGAAGGATCTTGAACCTGTATTGATGGATAACATTTTTTGAGGAGGCCCCTCTTTCATACGTTGGTGGGGACGTGCCCCTCAGTCCCCTGTAGCAGTTATGAGCGTGCGCCACGGCCTGGTTTAGTGATTTTATTTTTATAAACCTCACCTATTCAGTGTTTTTCAAAACACTACCCTATATACCCATTTTTTGCTATTTAGTGTATTCTTCCAAATGTAGGGCATGCAGATTTTGGATTCTAGGTCAAATTGACATTGGCTTGTGGTCATTTTACACCAATCCCTTTGCACTGGACTGTGTACATACACACCTTGAACAATCACAATGTTTCAAGCCCAAAGGGGTTTGTGTGTAAACGCTGCAAAATACATAATTACACTATTTCTCCAGAAATCACTGTGCAAGTGCAGCCTTACAGCACCTGAAACAATCCACAGAAACATTTGTATGCTTAAATACATTTCGTCAATTTTAATTTTAATCTTCTCATACTCAAAAGTAAGACTTTAAGCCTCACAAACATACAGCAGTTTTCTTGTATTTTCAGGTACTCTTGAAAATCAGGGAAAGATAAGCTCTTGCATGGCTTGTGATTTATTATTATAAGATGATTAATTGATAACAGTCAGTGGTGTAGTTATAGCTGATGTGGTGGGTGCACTTCTAAGTGGATGGGTAGGTTCTATCTAGCTTTCTTATTTCTTGTAGCATCTATTGTCATTTTACAAATGACCGCAAGAGATCATACCTTTCATCCCCTATAATGAAGCTGTAATTATCTCCCATGTTGGACCATCTCATTACTGAGTTGCTGTTTTAATGCTGCCTTCAACCCTCATTATTTTCTGCACTTAAGCTTCTGCAGCTGAAGTCAAATTGTAAATGCACTTTTAACTTGAAATATTTGTCTCTTCATTCATCTATATGCTTGAGCTTGAGTTTTTGTTTGATCGAAAGATTTTACTTCAAACGTAAACTATATAAACTGTTCTTCTTCATTGTTGGGTCTTTAGCTAAACTATTCTTTATTTTAAGTTGCTATTCACCCCGCTTTATCGGGTACAACTAACCTGCACTGAGGTGACACAGTGTTTACTTTTGTCACAATTGTCACACATCCCCTTTGCATTACATCACAGTTATGTGACAGTTATTTCCAGAGGTCGAATTGTTAATTTTTAACATAGGGGATGCAATGTAGCTTTGATTTTTTTGCGTGCACACATCATCAAATATGACAGCACAGATGTGCAAAATTAAATAAGATAAAGAAAAATAGCAGGGCCTATACCTGCTGCCTTTAAAAACACAAATAATGCAGTAGTACTGCAATTGCAATACAGACAAACATTTTAGAGTATAAATAAGAGTAGTTCTGAAATAGCTGTGAAAATTAATCTTCAAGTCACTCTTATCCTATAGACATTTCCTTAGCTGGTTATAATTTCTCCTTACCTGTGCAGCCTTGGGCTGATAATTGGTGCTGCTGTCAGGTCCCTGTCCTGATACCTGCCTTGTTTCTCCCTGTCCCTCTTCTATCTATTGCAATAATATACATAATAAATGTGCAAAGCAAAATTCATAAATAGGAATAGTAGTGGTGACATAGCTGTGGAAATTAATCGCACAGTCACTTTTGTGCTCTAGATATTTTCTCTCAACCAGTTATAATCTCTCCTCACCTATAAGAACCCTGCATGATCATCCTTGCTGGCCTCTGGTCCACTGTCTCCTCCCTGACCCTGCTCTTTCTATTGTGGCAATAAAGATTTAAAAAATATATGCAAAGCAATAGTGAGCACAAGTTCTTATTAAGGAGGAGTGGGTTTATTCTTAGCATGAAACTAGCTAGCAAGGTATTTAACATAGGTAACATTAACATTAGTGTTCTTGTTAACTAGCTTAACTTGATATATTGGCATCTATTAATTAGTCATCATTTAGCTAACATTATCTACATGCAACAGCATTACTCAACTTACACCGTTTGTTTGGAAGAAACTGTGCAAGATTTTTTGCTTCTTGCTGGCTGCTTTGCCCAACATAGTTAACACAGCGGCACTGCCCAGTAACACACATCTCGTCTGTACGATTGATTCTGATCACAACATGACAGCATGTGTATGCGCCTGGCGCCATATACTCATGGTGCGTTAAAAGACGGCTCGGAAAAACACGTTACCACATATGAACGAATTGAACGGTTGCAACGGCTGTAAAAAGTGCGGGGAAGGGAAGGCACAGATACGGGAAGTGTGGGGGACATGTCCCCTGTGTCCCCCCCTCAAATTACGTCCGTGCCTGCACACACAGATTCTAGATTAACAAGGGGGATGCTTTTTGGTCAATTTTCTTTTTTTTAACAAGGAGGATGGCATCCCCCCTCACCCCCCCTCAATTCAACCACTGGTTATTTCTTAAAGAAAGTGCATCCAACCACATGGGTACCACCCCAAGATTCCAAGAATCATGCAAGAACATCAACTTCATAAAATATGCTTATCTCTTTCAGGTGCTACCTTTATTTAGTGTTACTAGAAGTTTAGTGGTCCTGATTTAACACTCTAAATTTGGAGTAACTTTCTATACAATTGTTCTGTGATTTTAAACACAGGCAGACAAAGACAGGCCTCTCATTTCTGACTGATGACTGTTGATCTTACCCACTAAAGTCAAGCGCCCAGAAACAGTGCTGGGCTTTGAAGCCAATTCTGACATAGTGGCCAAGCGGTGTAATTATAACTTTTCTAAGCGTGACAGCTGCCTCGACATAACTTGTTTCACTACCTGGATCTGATCCATTCGGTCCGATAACATTTGCGCTACTGAGCAACTTCCATAGGAATAAACAGGGCCCCGCCTCCAACACTGTATCCAGTTTTCTTTATACATGCATGGCTGAAAACTGTAATTAGCAAGCTCACTGAGTAAGCACCATGAACTGAAAACACTGCCTCCTGCTGACTTTTTTTTAAATGTTTCTAATTAGTTTTAGAACCAGAACCTTGATAAAAGGTCTTAATTATATACTTGAAACGCTGACTGCTCCCAGTAGTGGCTTCCAAACGAAGATAGTAACGTGACGTGATAGTCATGAACAGCTTATTTTTTTATCGTAAAACTGTAAAAACTATTGGCTTTTGTTAATAATGTGCTCCTTAGCCTTGTCAGTAACAACTGGTAACTGTATGTATTAAGCTAATTAGTGGGGCATGCTAACAACTGCATCTTGCTTTAGAGCTGATTTGAGTCTAAACATAACATTTACCTACTCCTTCAGTATTATGGTTGAACCTGCGACTGTACAACTGCAATAACTGTCTTGTTTTCACTCCAGCAGTTTAACTTGATAAGAAAAGCCACTGATCTCACCTGTTCTGCTCCTCCAGTTTGGCCAGCAGCTCCAGTTCATCAGGACTCAGGTTCTCTGAGTCTGCTGGGGAGGCCGCTGGTGCGGACAGCACTGCATCATGGGAAGATGAGTCTGGGCTGAGCACTGGGCTTCCAGTTGATGGGGGGTCTGGGTCCATGCCGGGAGGGGAAGATGGGCACTCTAGCTGAGGGGGAGCCCCACTAGAGCCCTCTCTTTCTGGGCTGCTGCTGGGTATAGACATGGTGGTGACAATGGAGTTGGGTGGGTGAAGCACTGTGGGTGCGGTAAGAGGGTCTTCCAGTCTCACTGCTGGTCTCCCCCCTTGGTGAGCCTGGCTGGTATCTGATTGGCTGCCTGGCAGGCCGTGGAGCCAATTTGATCAGAGGTCTTCAAACCTGTCATGGATGCAGAAAAAGCTCAATGAAAATGGGCAACGTGGTGGTTAACTTAGTGTCACCAAAACTAATGTGACAAACATAACAAAACCTGTGGCTACACAACACGATGCATCCTGCTTTGTTACATTGTACTCTTAAAATAAGAGTGACAAATGACCATTTCCAGAATGGATTAAACGGGATTCTTTTTTTTTTTCGATTAATCGTTTCATCTCTAAAATGCCCATCATAATTTAGCAGAACTTTGAGTGACGTCTTCAAATTTTGCTTTCGCTGACCAAAGGTCTAAACCTAATTATATTTCATTTACAATGATATAGCTAAAAAAAGCTCATTATTGCTTCATCAATGGCTTAAACGCTGCAATGATTCTTGCAAAATTGCTTTGCTGAATGACGCCCACCCAACAGACAAACACAAATGAGTCAAACAAATGAACAAATGAATGAGGAATCATTTGTCCCCATGTACATACATCCTAATTCTTCACATTTTGTGCTCTCAAAGGTGTGAGATGTCATGTTCGACTTAATGGACTGAACACAAGTCACTGGCCAAACTTTTCCAATCCATACTAAGATGCCAGTAATGCCCATCCACACCCTGGCTCAAGTATCTGCTTTGAAGGAGTGGCCCTTAGTCACTGTGATGACATCATCCTGACTGAGAGCATCATGGTCCATCACTGCAGACTCAGCTAACAGAGAGCTGTGTTTCTTCACACTAAGATAGATGTTTGCCCAGTGATGCCTCACACAGAAACAGTGTTATTGTTGACGTGTAAATAAACTGTTGCGATCTATAACCACTGAGTTGCATTTCTTTCATCGCTATTAAAGGCAGCAAGAGATCAAACTTGTCAGCTGCAGTGTTACACGCATCATGACCTGATGCGGTGTTATTCAATTAACATCAGACCGTACGGCTTTCAGGAGGACTGAGCCATGGTGACTGAGTGATTAATGTGCATTAAGAGATAATAAATTGATCAGATCATGAATAGATGAGATGAATAACTGAGTGAATTCAAAGGGATATGGCAGGTGTCACAGAGCTTATAAAGAGCTGAAGCTCGGGTTAGGAGTTAGGGAAGCTTTTAATCATTTCCCTTTTCATGTATACCCAGGTATGAAAAAAGCCAGTAGAAAATGTACGCAATTGTACTGTTGGTCCAAAGGCACTGTGAATACTCTTCTTTGACTGGAGGTTTTATGTTTGTGCCTTCAGAGTTAAAGTGGTTGCTTCTTGTGATTGAGAGCATACGCGGGAAAGGCATTTGTGTCTTGAGTGCAACATTTAACTCGCTAATGTTAGGCAGCACATCTAGACTTGGTGCTTTGCTCTCCCCCATCATGATCAACTTAGTAAATACATGCATAAGATAGATCAATCAATCAATCAATCAATCAATCAATTCTGATGACTGAAAATTGATACTGCTGCAATTACTGATTCTGCTTTCTACTGATTCTCGATTCCCTTATTGATTCCTGATCAATTGGCATACATGTGACTTAGGTGTGCAAAAGCTCCACTGCTTAACTGTTTTCTTAACCAAAGAAAAAACTCTACTAGGCCTGCCTGTGTGGCGCTAATGTTATTATAACATAGGATATTTATGCTCAGTTACAGACATGGTGCTTGGTTGTAAAGCAATGTAAAATATTTGGCATTCCTTGAATTTACACCCCGAAAGACGCTCAGTCATATTGATGTTTCCACCCTTACTTGAAACTATCATATCACAGACATTACAAGCAGCACTGTCATCTTTCTCCATGCAATAGGCCTTTTTCACAGCAGACATTTTGAGTTGTCACAGCCGGTAAAGCTCAGGTGTTGCTTATAACACTAGCTGGCTCTGTTATATTCGAGTGTCCCAGTGAGAGTGATGCTGAGCAGGCATGCACGAAACAGCACCCTGACATCAAAGCAGCTACATGGAATTCATCATTCGTTTTATTGTTTAAACCTGTGCTTTGCCTACTGTGACAAGTCAAAATGTCTTCCATGAAAAAGGCCTATCAAGCTATGTTTTGGACCGTTTCTTCCTCTCCGCCATGATGCCTTCTTGTTACAAGTTCACAGCGGCGTATACGCATGAGTTTCACGTCATTTGCACAACATATGCACACAACACACTGCATCAAGAACAATACAGTTAATTGATCGACAAATACCATATTGAACTGTCCATGTATTAGAAAACTCAAAAACAGTGCAATGACAAATTGATTTTGGCCATGTAATCAACCATGAAGGTTGAGAGAAACATACAGATGCAGGCAAGGAGAGCAGAATAGCCTGCAGGAGAGGAGAGGAGCATAATAACAGTCTGAACAGGGAGAACACTGCATGGGGAAGAGACAAGGACCACATTCATGCACAGAAGCCAGCCCAATCAAAAGAACCATTAACAAGTCAATGAGACCAATCACATTTGTAAAAGGGCTTAGCAAATAACATGAATCTGAAATAACATCCCTTTCATGTCAAATAATTCCACCCATATAAGCTCATGGTAAAACAGCTTTCCCTTTTTTAACAGTAGTTATTTACTCAAGTTACTCTGGTCAAGCTAAACTACCCTGATGTGGCTGAATTTGCTGCAACAGTCAGAGCTGACAAAGTCCGTTTCCCTTTTCTTTTCAGATTAAAATCATCTGACAGACGGGGGAGCCTCAGGCAGTGATGCATCTGCCTTGGCAGTCACATATTCGCCTCGAACCCAGCAGTGGAACTGAGGTGAGCTCTATGATTGATAAAATTTATAACCGTGTCAAACACTTGTGAATGTTTTCACCTTGATACCAACACCCAGAGAGCCTTTAATAAGTGGACAGTACAGTAGGCTCATGTTCCCATCCTTGGCCAGTCTGTAATACTTTAAAACAAAGGCACAAGAGAGAGAAACCATACAATATATAAAACAATATAACAGCATAAAGGCCAGCTCTCTCTGGACAGAGTTCGAATTATTGTTGAGGGATCTCTCTACTGCAGATCCACACTGGGATTTAAGCTGAGTGAATGATTATTTTTACTGAGCTGCCACAGTTTTCTTCTTTCAATCAGGAGGATGGAATTATCCATGATACAGAATCACAATCCATCCATTAATGGATAATAGTGTGAATTAAAAGTGGATGATACTAAATTTGACTAATCAGAGCTCACAACTGCATAAGTTGAGTCCAGATGAAATCTAATCAAACCTCTTCTTCTGCATCTGTTACTTCCAAGCTGTGTATTCCTTTCAACAAGAAGCCAAATCTCAGAAAACCATTCTGACCTTTGTGACTTAACTTTGAGGTCAATAAAATAATTGCCTCCTTTAAACTTGTCACTTTGCTTATGGTGCTTGTTAAAGATGGTATGATTTGGTCTGGGAGACAAAAAATGAGAGTTCTGGGTTATGGCTAAATGTTCTCTAATACCCTTGGCGACCAAAATTAGCAAGTACATGCAAGGTTTTTGAACGCGGGTAAACCCACTAAATATAGGCAATAGAGTCATTTCCCACAGCCAGTACGTGAGTATGCCTGAATGTTTTTTTTTTGCATGACACATTCAAGGTCACAACAAACATGCTGGAAAACAGGGCTAGTAAATAATGGAAAATAGGATGGAGGACAGTGACAATACCACAATGATTATTCCTTGTTTAAATATATCTGTTACTTATTCAGTCTTTAGGGTTAGGGTCACGCCTCCGGGATACTACCAGCTGATAAAGACACGTCATGACGCAAGTCAGATGACGCTTCTGAAGAAGACTGAAGTGACAGTCGAAACATGTCAAGGTAAACTACATCTCCTTAAATACTCATTGTCTGAAAAAAAAGAAACTTTCTACACTGAATCTAATTTGAGTAGACAAAATGAACCTATTTACACTTGCAATTTTGTCCAATCACAGCAACTTAACTGTGAAATGAGACTTTACTCCGGGAAGAGAGTGAGCTCTATGCCTGGGACAGAGTCATTTACACGTAAGGATGGGGGGAAAAAAATGATACAGCATAGTACTGTGATATTTTACATGGCAATATTGTATCGATACACGGACGCCAAGTATCGATCGTTTATTAAACACATAATTCATGAGATACATAAGGGTAATAAATCGCAATATGTTGCAATATATTGCATCGCAATACTCAGCATGTCGCAATAATACTGTATTGTGACCTAAGTATCATGATAATGTTGCATTGTGAGTCCTCTGGCGATTCTCACCCCTTCACACAGTGACAGAGCTATCTGTTAACATCACACAGCTAAGCTTATTGACAGGGTTAACAACAGAATTGAGTCGTTTTGTGTCGATATGAGTTTGCTGGACTCGTTTAACAGCTTTGTGTTGGATGCAAACCACTGTTGCTGTGTTACCTCATTCTTACCAGGAAGAAAGAGCAGATGTAAAACATATACTAAATCTGTGGGAAACACTGGATACTCATAACAATAGGGTACAAATCAGAGCGAGCATTGCAAGTATTTTCACAATTTTCACCTGCCCCCGCAGTTTCATTGCAAAAAAAGCCTACAAACATCGCAACATGCATTGCAATTTTTTAGAGAAGCTGCCATGAAATCAGGTATTTAAGGTCGCTAAAAATCCCCCAAAAAGCCTGTGAAATCCTGGAGGGACTGACTGCGTCCGTATTAGATCACATTTTTCCCACAGCCTTGAAGGGTTTAACCACTATCACAATTTACTGCAAAACAGCAAAAAATAAGCAAACAAACAAAATCAATACCAGCTAACTTTATTTAAATTTCATAAAAATAGGCCAACCTTTGCCCAAAATAACAAAAATTGAGATTCTGTTGGGACAGGAATCTGGACTTATCAATAAGAATATCGTGGGAACTGCATTTAAAAAACACAAGTGCTATGAAAACATCTTAATCATCAGCCTATTAACCACGACAGTACAAAAGAGGAGATGCTTCAGAGCAACACAGAGAGCTATTCAGCTGTGTCACTGTGC